TCTCACCAAATAGAGACAGAAATTATGAAATATTCATTAGAGGGATTCACCAGCAGATTCAAGCAGGCAGAAGAAAGATCAGCAACTTGAAGATAGGTCAATTGAGATTATCCAGTCTGAGGAGCAGAAAGAAAAAAGAATGAAGAAAAAAGGATAGAGCCTCACAGACCTGTGGGATACCATTAAGTATAACAATTTACATTAAAGAGAGTACCCAGAAAGAGGAGAGTAATAAAAGGGCAAAAAGAGGGCCGGCCCGGTGGCGCACTTGGTAGAGTGCGGCGCTTGGGAGCGTGGTGGCACTCCCGCCGAGGGTTCAGTTCCCATATAGAGACCGGTCCGCTCACTGGTTGAGCGCGGTGCGGGTGCAACACCGAGGGTTGCGATCCCGTTACCGGTCACGAAAAAAGACAAAAAGGAAAGAAAAAAAAAGGGCAAAAAGAATATTTGAGAAAACACTAGCCAAAACTTCCCAAGTTTGATGAAAAACATTAATCTACACATCCAAGAAGTTCTAGAATGAACTCAAAGAAATGTACATCCAGACACATATGTTGAAAGCCAAAGACAAAGAATCTTGAAAACAGCAAGAGAAGCAACTCAGCACATACAAGCAAGCCTCAGTAAGATCAACAGCCAATTTCTCATCAAAAACCATAGCTGCCAGAAGGCAGTGGGACAACACACTCCCACTAACAAGAAAAAGACTGTCAAGCAAGAATTTCTGAAACAAAACTAAGTTTCAAAAACAATGGAAAAATTAAAATATTCCAAATAAACAAAAACAGAATTCATTGCTAATAGACCTGACCCACAAGAAATACTGAAAAGCCTTCAGGCTGAAATAAAAGGACACTATATGCAGCTCATTAGATTGAACTGTGACCACCCCCAAGCTTAAGTTGTTGAAGGTTTGGTCCCCACTGCGACAGTGTTAAGAGGGTGAGAAATGCTATTATGGTAATTGAAAGGTGGGGCCTTGAAGAGGGGATTAAGTTGATGGTTTAATGGTGGTCATGGGTGTGGTTCTGAGGGCTTTAAAAGAAGAGCACATGAGAAGTTCTCTCTCTCTGATACACCATTTTCTGCCGTGTGAGACCCCAGCATTGCTGTAAAGCCACTACCAAAGAAGACCCTAACCAGATGTGCTCCCTGGACTTTGAACTTCCCAGCCTCCGAAACTATAAGCAATAAATTTCACAGGCAACAAATTACCTAGTTCCAGATATTTTGTTATAAGCAACAGAAATGGACTAATACACACAGTAACTTGAATCCATACAAAGAACTAAGAGCACTATAAAAGGTAACCATATCGGTAAATAAAAGACAGTATAAATGTATTGTTTGTAACTCCTCTTTTTCTCCTGAATTAAAAGACAATTACATAGAGCAATAATTACAAATATATATTGATGGACACATAATATATACAGATGTAATTTGTGACAATGACAGCAGAGGGGGAAACAGGAAAACAACTATGTAAGAGCAAAATTTTTGTACGCAATTGAAAGTAGTTATTAATCTGACTAGACTGTTTTAAGTTGTTATTGGAATTCCTCAGGGTAACCACTAAAAAAAAATCTCAAAAAATATACAGTAAGGGCCGGCCCAGTGGCGCACTGGATAGTGCGCCGCTTGGGAAGCGCGGCGGCGCTCCCGTCCGAGGGTTCGGATCCCACGTATAGACCGGTTCCCGCTCACTGGTTGAGCGAGGCGCGGGAGCAGCACCGAGGCTTGCGATCCCGTTGCCGGTCCCCGTCCAGTATGGGTGCGACACTGAGGGTTGCGATCCGTTGCCGGACACGGAAAAAAGACAAAAGACAAAAAAAAAAAAAAAAAAAAAAAAAAA